TTTGAGTTCACCCTCCCCCATCTAACTCCTAAGTCGTGCATTCCTGCACGTAGTAGCCGGGCCATTAACCATTTCACTGCCGCACATTTCACAGATGCTTATAACTCTGGAATGATAATTCAGCACCTGGTGTTTCCCACCACCACTGAGGAGCTGGCATCCCAGTTCAACTCTGTCTGCTTAAAGACTATGGATCATGTTGCGCCTATTAAAATCAAAAAATCAAAACTCAGAGCAGAACCTTGGCCGAGTGACGTCACCAAGGCCGTTAGGCAGCAATGTAAGAGAGCGGAGCGCAAGTGGAGGAAAGACAGGCTGCATGTCTCTTTTTAAATACTTAAAGAGAGTTGGCGCTGTTATCAGAAAGCAGTGAAAGCTGCTAAATCTAAATACTTCTCTGATATCATAACCTCAAACTCTCACAACCCACGTGTCCTCTTCTCTACCCTAAACTCTGTTCTCCACCTCACTGAACCATCACATCTGGAAACCTCGACTGAGCTGTGTGACAACTTCCTACATTTCTTTTTGGAAAAAATTGCGACCACCAGGGCTCTCATTTCCCCTCCAACTCATGACCCATCCATCCCACCTCAATCTGTAGCTCCTTGTGATCATTTTGAACCCATAACTCTATCTTCTCTAAAGCAGGTCATGTGCAGCTTGAAACCTTCTGGTTCCCCCTTTGATGTGGTCCCCCCTCAACTACTAAAGGAGACTTTTCCTACTTTAGGTCCATCCTTTCTTGCTATAGTAAACAGTAGTTTATCCACTGGCATAGTGCCAAAATCCTTTAAACATGCTGCTGTCCAGTCTCTCCTAAAAAAAAAAAACCTTGACCCCTCAGTCGTATCCAACTTCCAGCCTGTCTCCAGACTCCCATTTGTTTCTAAAATACTGGAGAAAATAGTCGAGTCCCAGTTGAAGTGCTTCCTGGAGGATCACGCCATCTTAGAGCTATTGCAATCTGGTTTTAAACCTCTGCATAGCACTGAAACTGCCCTAATGAAGGTTTTTAATGACATCTTCATATCCACAGATACTGGTGATTCTGTGCTGCTTGTCCTATTGGACCTCACAGCCGCCTTTGACACCATCGACCATGAGATCCTTATTGCTAGGTTGGAGCAGTGGGTGGGCATCACAGGATCAGCCCTCAATTGGTTCAGATGTTACCTCACTGACATATCCTTTTGTGTCTCCATCAAGGATTTTAGTTCTGCAGCGGCAGAGCTTAAATAGGGGGTTCCGCAGGGGTCCATCCTGGGTCCCCTCCTATTCTCTTTATACCTGCTGCCACTTGGTGCTATTTTCCAGAAACACAACATACCCTTTCATTTCTATGCTGATGACTGTCAAATTTACTTACTCCTAAGACGCAATGGTACATGCTCTATTCAACCTCTGCTCGACTGCCTGGCTGACATCAGAACTGGATGGCTTTAAATTTCTTAAGTTTCAATGAAAAGAAGCCTGAAGTCATGTTATTCCCTCCCAACGACACAATCACAAACCACTGCATCGACCTCTCTGCTCTAACACTGTCAGAAAAAAAAGAGTCACTAATCTGGGAGTGATAATGGACCCTTCCCTGAAACTTAACAATCATGTTTCTTCCAACTGAGGTGGCTGTCTAAACTGAAGCCCATATTGTCCAAAAATAACCTGGAGACAGTAATACATGCATTCATTACATCTAGGCTTGATTACTGCAATTCGCTCCTGTTTGTTATCAGTCAGACCTCCATTGCAAGACTACAACTGGTCCAGAATGCAGCAGCCCGATTTTTAACCAGTACAGGCAAAAGAGAGCACATTACACCAGTTTTGGCCACCCTGCACTGGCTACCGGTTCACCTTCGAATCCAGTTCAAAATACTCCTGTATGTCTACAAATCACTGAACAGTGTCCCCCCCCACCCCCCCACCCCCCCAAATCTCTCTGATCTGCTACAGCTGTATGTCCCACCACGCCCCCTGAGGTCAGCGGACCAGTTGCTCCTCACAGTTCCAGGAACTCGTCTTAAGCGCAGAGGTGATAGGGCCTTCTCTGTAGCAGGACCAAGACTTTGGAACGAGTTACCTCTGCTTGTCAGACAGGCCCCCTCCCTCTCAGTTTTCAAGTTCTGTTTAAAAACCCACTGCTATTCCGTAGCTTTCAACACCAGAGGATCTGTGTTTTGAACCTGTTTGCTTCACACAGGTTAGTCGTCATATTTATTATCTGCATCGTTTTTATGTCTATATTCTGATTTACCTCATTTTGTACATTGCTTTGAGTGTTGCCTGTTTTTCTGTATGTACAGCACTTTGGTTGGCCTTGTCTCTGTTTTAAGTGCTCTATAAATAAAATGGTATGATATGGTATGGTATTGAGCCACAATAACTCATTTTCAAGAGAGACCTGTTTAGGAAGCAGATGGTGGGGGGTTAAGGGCCTTGCTCAGGGACCCAGAGTGATACGAATGAGGGTGGAGGCAGGTGTGGGTGTTTCACCTTTTCCACCCACATTTTGATGGTGATGGTTCCGGGAGGTGAACCTGTGATTTTCTGATCACAGGACCATCTTCTCTGACCTCTGCACCACCACTTCTCCACAAAAGATAGTTATTGTGTTCATTTTTTAGGTATAATGGTTGTAAGAATGAGTCAGACAATGAAGTTTCACGAAGACTAGTGACAATCTTCCAGTCTGAGCGTGTGTTGAAAACAAGCTATATTCTGTGAAACACCATCTGCTGGCTGGTTCTTGTACTACAAGGAAGATGCACACTGCTGGAGCAGATTGGGGGCACAGATCCTGATGATGAACGTGGATGACCACGGCTAAATAACTGAAGTGTATTATTTATGTACAAAATTATGATTTATATATAATAAGTGCAGCTTACAGACAGGTGCGTTCTAAGGCCCAACAATTACGGTAGATGTGCCTTTTCCTAATATAAAATTTGGCTATCTACAGAGAAGTAAATATTCAGTAGAAATGTTTGCAAGCCCTATTTCTTGCATAAAGATAAAATACACCATTTTATATGTATGGAGGTTATTAAGAATTGCTGTTTTAATGTTTGAATTCACATTATGATGACTTTATTCTATTTATAAAATTTTATGGAGGTCCTCATGGTTCACGGCAGAAATGGGAAGTCATCTCCTCAGTTATTAGTTAATTAAACTATTTGAACAGATTGAAAATTCATCTCCCCAGATTACCGTAATTCCTGGACTATTGAGCACACCTGAATGAGTGGACTGTGATCTGTTTGGTAATTTCATTGGTTGTGTGTTTTTTTTTTACCTTTATTTATACAGGTATTCTCATTGAGTTACAAACACCCACTCTCCAAGAGAGACGTGCAGCTATATGAGCGCCTGGGTGCGACAAGGCTAATTGTTTTGGCGGCATGAAGTTCATTGTCAAAATAAATAAACAAATAAATCCATAAATTAGCTGCAGCATTGCATAAACCGCAGTGTTCAAAGAGTGTGAAAAAAGTAGCAGCTTATAGTCTGGAAATTACAGTAGTTAATCTGAGGGTGTGCATTTGCACGTTTTGGCAGCAAAACATTGCTTGGTTTTAGTATCATTAAAAAAGTTGGACAATTTTTTTAAATTTCCAGTTTCACTAACTTTTAAACAAGCAACGAAACCTCAAACATAAGTCGTGTCAACTGCAGAAAAGCAGACAACACTACAACTAGGGGTTGAACGAGTATATAATTTTTAAACTCGACATTAACATAATAAAACCCGAGTAGAACTCGAGTATTTGATGACGTCATAGATCTCAAGATACAAAAATAAATAAAACCGAAATAAAAGGTAATTATTTACATAAAAAATGACCAACAAAACATTGGGAGCGTATATTATGCTCCTACCATTTATCATACTGCAAATAAGTCACAAGAAAAACTAAACTATTAGTTATTATTATTACACTGCAAACGTGAAGAAACGTGCAGCACGTCAGAAACGAAACTTAAAACAGTGGATGGGCGGAGGATTGGACCCGGTGTTACACCATACTCTGTGACCTGCAACAGTGCAACACCGCCCCCTACGGTCATACGGTGGTCACATAATATGACGTCACACGGTTACTCGACATTACATTTTTAACCTCGATAGAGGTCTTAGCAATCGATGTGTAGATTACTCAAGTACTCTGTTAATGCCCTAACTACAACCTAATTTTATTTAAACATTCAATGAAGCTGACTTGTTTTAGATAACAATTCTTCAAAAGTATACAAGTGTGTGCAATTTAACTGTTTGAATGACATTTAAATGAGATATAAATGTTGGATTAAAACATTTCTGATGTGATTTAGGTGAAAATACGTTCAGTTCTATTGATGACTTTGAATACTTTAGTCTGATTTTGCAATTTGTAGACAGTCCCTAAACCCTTGTCTCACTCCAACGTTGTGTTTCTGTTCGTCATCTTGTCTACACTACAAAAATAAAATACACACAACACCTACTGTCTACAGACACATACTGAGAGTGAATCTGTACGTAGGCGTAATTAAACGTAGGCAACACATGGTAAATCCATGTGCACCATTTCCTGAAGGAAACAAAGTCTTACCTGTGACCCCTGAGGGGCTCCACAAAACTTCATATGCTGCTTTTAAGGAATGAAGTTTGTCACTCTGTAAATCTGAACAACTTGTGAAATAATAAAACCAGATAAATTGTACATTTAACTAAACACAAGTCAGGCTTTTGTTGAAAGATGAAAAAAAAAACAGAGGCAGTATTTTTTACACCTAAAATTATTTGTGTGGATTTGAAAAGAGCACATTTAGCAAGTTATGCCTTAAAGTTTTTATATTAACTATTAAATATACAGTCCCACAAATTTGATAAACATTTTCACAAGCTTTTTTCGAGGGACGTCTGTAATAACAGGACAATTTGTTGTGTTTGTGTGTAATGGCCCGTCATTTTTAAGTGCCATGTTGTTTTTATGGTTCTCTGTGATGCTTACAGTGTCAACGAGAAGGATGTAGTCACAACTTCCACCAAACACAATCACATCCGAGTCTTTGCTCGCACACGCTGTGTGCCACAACCTAAAACACAGCAAACATTAAAGTAGTATTTAATGGTGTAGTTCAGGATAGTGAAACAGAAGTTACAACCTCGGCTTGTGCTTAAAGGGATGCTCCAACTCTCTCCACTTCTTTGTTTCAGTGTCAAACAACCAGCCTTCACCTGATAGGAGAAAAATCATCAACTAGACCACAGTGAAAGGACATCAAATGAGTAGCAAAGGTAAAAAATATGAAGAGGAGGGGACATGTTCTTACTCATTGGTTTACAGTTTACACTGAGACCACCAAACAGGAACATGGTGGTGTCTGACACAGCTGTGAGCGTATGCCACGATCTGCCCACTGGAACGGCAGACAATGGACTTCTGCAAAACAAAATTAGATCGTTAAACATGGCAACTCTTTATATACTGTACATCTGAAGCGCGTGTTTTTCTTAATACATGGCTGTTGTATTTACCGTACTTTCCACCGTATAAGTCACACCTTTTTGAATAAATTTGCATGCCCTGCAACTTATACGGCGAAGCGACATATTTATGTTTTTTCCCCATATTTATAACCCAATTTTTGTCTGAGATCTGACGACTTCATTCATTCAGACATGGAAAATATTGAACACTACCATTTTCAGCCACTAGAGGGCCCTCGAGTAATATGGCAAGCCAAGTGTTTCATTAATAGGTAAAAGTGGCTATTAATGAGACACTTGGCATGCCACGAACAGCCACCTTCATCTTGCTCTGCTTATCGTGTTAAATTTTGAAGAAATGCACAGCGAGTCGTCCCTCTGTGCGCTCCCACAGCTGCGAATTATCTTTTGAAATGTAGCTGATTTGACCGTCAAAGAGCATTTATTAAGGAAAAGTTTAACTGAGACACATCTTTACTATAATTTTGAGCAAACAAATAATTGTTAAATTCTTGTTAAAGCCCTACCGGGCACGCTCCCGCAGTCGCCATTTGGCAGCCAATTGATTTTTGGCACAACACCGGCCCACATTTCTGTGTAATCAGCGGTGACGCACAATAGATGCAACTTATATGGCGAAGCGACATATTTATGGATTTTTCCACTTTATTAGACATATTTGGACCAATGCGATTTCTACGGCGGTGCGATGTGTACGGCGGAAAGTACGGTAATTTCTGTTAACACACATTTCTGACCACGTCCAAGACTGGAGGTCCAGACAGTGAATGTCGCTCGTCCTTGTTTCCTGCAGATGAAAGAGAACAATCATTTATTACTCCTTGATCAGCATATTGTTGTACAATGAGATAAGAGCAGCTCACCATCACTCTGCCTCCACAAATGTATCCTTTGCATCCAAGTGTGGCGCCGGCGTGTGCTGCCCTTGGAGCAGGAGGACGACCCTGCAAGTCAAAATCAAGAGAAGACACTGAGCTACCTCACCGTTCTGACCACTACTTCTTAGGTTTTGAACAATATTGAAGAGGCTCTTAAGTGTCCTCATCATCATATGTTCTGTACGTATTGGCCTCAGTGTAAAAGTACCATAATTTCCGGACTAAAGAGCGCACCTGAATATAAACCGCGCCCACTAAGTTGAAAAACAATAATAATTTTGTACATATATAGGCTGCACTTGTGTATAAGCCGTGGGTGTGCACGTTGTAACATGAGATATTTACACAGAAATATATATTTTCTACTTTGACCCTGTGTTGACCTTGTGCTAACCTTGTGTTAACCTTGTGTTGACCTCGTGTTAACCTTGCGTTGACCTTGTGTTGACCTTGTGTTAACCTTGTGTTGACCCTGTGTTGACCTTGCGTTGACCTTGTGTTGACCTTGTGTTGACCTTGTGTTAACCTTGTGTTAACCTTGCATATGACAAATTAACACAACTTGAACTTGAATTCACACTTATTTCGAATGGCTGCAAATACTATAGCTATGTTCAATAATGTTCAATAATAATACCTTCAATAATTCAAATGTATTGTTTACATGGGCACAATCTGTTCATGACGAGCGTTTACATGCAGCGGGCTTTGTTCTGAACAGCAGTACTGACATGCGCAGAGTGGTAAACTCTCCTTAAAAAAACCACTGAAGAAGAAGTTCTACTTCCGGGGTGAACGTAAACAAACCTGAGCACCAAAATGGACCCGCGACAGGTTTTAATGATGGTGGCGACGTTACTGCACTCCCTGACTGAGCTACAGGTGATACAGATCATTTTGAGCTCTTTCAAAGTTTCTAGTAGAAATGGTGTGTCGCTCACCGACCAGTTTTACTTCCCTGACATGCTAATATTATTAGCATTAGCCAGGCGGAAATGGCAAAGTCGCACATGCGCAGTCAGGTCAGTTTTTCACGATCAGATAAAAATGAACAGATCAAGCGTTTACATGCGCACCGATCGGGTTACGGATCGGCGTAAACCACCCGTTTCGTTCTGATCACAAATTATATCGGATCGCGCCGAATACACAAAAAATAACCCAAACGGAGTGTTTACATGACACACTTTTATTCCAACCAGCCATTTGATCCGGTTACTTATGTCCATGTAAACATACCCTATGTTGTGCATCCAGGAAAGGGGTAAGTTTCCCCCTCCCTGGGGGCACAATTGGGAGGGGAGGAGAAAACAGGGAGAGAACAACCTGTTCTCCCCATTTCATTGGTTCATTGTGACCTGTTCTGTAATTTCATTAATCAGATTTTTTTTTAACCTTTATTTATACAGGTAGTCTCATTAAGTCACAAGGACCCACCCCCCAAGAGAGACGTATTGGACAGCTATGTGAGCGCCCGGGTGTGACGAGGCTAAATATTTTGGTGGCATGAAGCTCGTTAGTCCGTCAAAAAAGAAAAAAGAAAAATCCATAAATTAGTTGCAGCATTGTATAAGCCACGGGGTACAAAGTGTGTGAAAAATGTAGCGGCTTATAGTCCGTACATGACGGTACGTCTTATTCAGTTTTCTCTACAATGTCGTGTTTGCTCTTACGTGAGTTTGTGGTTCACTCCAACTGACTTGAAAGGGGTCAAATATATGAACTTCATTATTCCAGCCCCAAAACACACCTTCCACCTGAAAACACATAGACGTATTCTTTATTAATACATAAAACTCCTCAAATGTTGATGCTTTGAAGATAATTCACACATGGTATTATTTCTTACCATGTTGTACAGTATACTGGTATGTGTATTATCACTGAGTAGTAGCACACCTGCAACACTGATGTGTTTTAAGGAAATACCTTCAGTGCCTTACGCTGGATGGATGAGACACATTCACTTTGACAGATTTTAGTTCAATTAAAAAAGTTACCCAAGATGTTTCATCAAGGATGAAGCTTCTGTCCCTGCTGTTTATATCGCTCAGTACTTTGTGGCCATATCCTCCAAAGTAGATCAGCCTGGGGGTATAAAACAACAATTACAATATTCAAACCCTGATAATAAATTATTCATAAAATAAACTGGCTTTTTTTTTTCACAGCATGTTTACAGACTACAGAGAAACAGACTAATGAATTTAAAACACCCAGTTAAGGTAAAAATAAGGTAACTTTTTAATTTTTTACATTTTATTTATAAATAATATATAAAAAAAATAACTTGTCTGATTGTTATTAGATGTTAAAATGAGGTTATATTATTGTTAATGTTTGTATATGTTCTTGTTGCTCCAGTGTTTTATCTTAATGGGCTGACCAAACTGCAGTACCAACCCTCCACCACCGTGCGCAACAACACGATTTGAAGCGTTTGTGCAGAAATGTTGTTTGTTTTAGAAAAATGTGTTTTAAACTAATCATCTCCACTTCATTCTCATCAGTCCAAAGAACATCGTTCCAGACGTTTTGTGCCTTGAATGTTGCCATTTATTATCACCTGCTGCCATGAAAGGCAGGGGATCATGGAACCACATGTTTGTCTGTCTGTTAGTAAAATACCTCAAAAACCACTGAACAGATTGTGCTGAAACAAAAGAGCACAGTCTTTTGTTTCCTCTAAGAGCTCTTTTGAACAAATCATGCTTGTCCGATCTTTATAACAAACATGCAGCTCCTGAGGTTTTTACATTTTTCTCTGAGTGTCACATGACCTCATCCAGGGCTTAATTTGTAAACCAATTGATGCCGGAATGCAAATAGCGGGCTGACTTATTTTTGAACATTTTGAATAAAGTATCGTAATATTCGCTGTATAAGTCACAGTTTTTGTGTAAATGAGCATGCCTGCAACTTATACAGCGAAATAGCATATTTATGTTTTTTTTCACCATTTTTATAACCCAATTTTTGTCTGAGATCTGACGTTTTCATTCATTCGGACATGGAAAATATTGAACAATACCATTTTCATCCACTAGAGGGCCCTCGACTAATATGGCAAGCCAAGTGTCTCATTAATAGGTAAAAGTGGCTATTAATGAGACACTTGGCTTGCCATACCAAGCCACCTTTGTCTCGCTATGGAACTCCTGGAGCAAACATTAAATCAGCTGCATTTCGCCGTGCCGCTCAGGTGAAATGCAGCTGATTTGACCATTAAAGTGACCCCACCTCACAGAACAACTATCGGCCAATCTCTAAATTCTGCATTTTAGCCAAGGTTCTAGAAAAACTGATAAACTCTCAAATCAAAAATTACCTGGACTCATTTAACATCTTACCTCTCCATCAATCTGGTTTCAGGAAACACCGCAGCACAACGACTGCTTCACTGAAGGTTCTTAATGACGTTGCTGAAGCACTGGATGCTAAGGATTATTGTGCTGCACTTTTCTTAGACCTGTCTAAAGATTTTGAAACTGTGGATCAGAACATCTTGTGTCATAAACTCTCAGAAATCAGAACACATCATTGGATGGTTCTCTCTTTACAATCTGCATAAGTAATGTAGGTAAAAACATCCCTGATGCATCCATACATTTCTATGCTGATGACACAGTTGTTTATTGTCGAGCTAAAACAGTTGCTAAGGCTTTCCAGCTTTTGAAATCTGCATTTACCATCATCCAGTCTGATTTGTTCCGCCTCAAACTTGTCCTAAATACCGATAAAACCAAAGGGATGTTTTTTTCAAACAGGAAGTCGGTCCCAGCAGTTCTTCCTATGATTACATCCTCAAATGGTGTCCCCATTGAGTTTGTTGATTCATATAAATATTTGTGTATCTTGGTCGACTCGCATCTCTCTTTGAAGCTGCACGCGGAAAACTTGGTAAAGAAACTGAAAGTTAAACTGGGTTTCTTTTTAAAAAACAGATCCTGTCTAAACTTTGAAGGCTAGGAAACACCTTGTATCTGTGACCTTCCTTCCGTTCATTGATTACAGTGACAATATTTACATGAACGCTCCTACAAGAACTCTGCAGATGTTGGATGCTGTCTATCATGGTGCACTAAGATTCATAACTGGCTGTGATTATCGTACCCACCACTGCACCCAGTATTCACTGGTTAACTGGTCACCATTAACTTCACGCAGACTCTCTCACTGGTATATTTTCATCTTTAAATCACTTCTTGGTCTGCTGCCTTCATACATCTCCTCCTACATGTCTCTGCGTGAGTGCAGCTACAGCGTGCGCTCTCAGGACATTATTACCTGCAGTGTTCCCTCAGTGAGGTATGAACTTGTCAAAAGGGCCTTCTCCTACTCCGCTCCTGTTTCCTGGAATATCTTACAAAAAGATCTGAAGCTCTCGACCTGTATCTGTTGGACTCCTGGCAGGGACCAATGCAGACATGTTCCTGTTTTTAGTTTTCTACATTCACCTTAGAATCTAGCTGTTTTTTGTTACTTTTTTGCATCTTATTTGTAAAAAAAATAAAAATAAAATCTGTATGCCTTTTTGTGGCTGTCTATTGTTGTCATCATTCTTTGTTGAAATCAGGTCTCTCTTGTAAATGAGTCCTCGAGGCTCAGTGGGAGTTACCTGTCTAAATAAAGGTTGAATGAAAAGGTTGAATGAAAAAAAAGTGCATCTGAAACACACCTTTACTATGTCAAGCAAACAAATAACTGGTTTTAGGTGGTTATCTTGTTAAATTTCTTAAGAAATGCACAGCGAGTCGTCCCTCTGCACGCTCCTGCTTCTGCGTATCGGCTTTTGAAATGCAGCTCATTTTACCATTAAAATGCGTTTATTAAAGAAAAGTTCAACTGAGACACACCTTTACTATAGTTTCAAGGAAACAAATAACTATTTTTAAGTGTTAATCATGTTAAATTCTTGTTAAAGTCTTCCCATGCACACTCCCGCAGCCGCCATTTGGCAGCCATTCGATTTTTTGGCACAACACCAGCCCCCATTTCCAGGTTGTCAGCGGTGACGCATAATAGATGCGACGTGTACAGCAAATGACATATTTATGTTTTTTCCTCTTTATTAGACATATTTGGACTGATGCAACTTATAGGGTGGTGTGATGTGTTCAACAGCAAGTATGGAAGATACGATTTTCTGCATTTTCTGTATTTTAACATGTTGTTAAACATCTATGTTTACCCACATTTGTAAAACCTCAATTTCTGTCAAGCACCCTACCCCCCACCCCACAACCTTATTTGAGGGTTCTGAGCCCGATTCTTCTTCGCTGAATTCACTGTCCTGCTCGTTGTTGTCCTCCTCCACATGTGAAACCCCCAGGCTCCTCCTCCAACTGTTCATGGTAGCTGCCTGAGAGCTCCTGCCCACGTATGACTGCCTGGTTAGCTCGACTCTCCCACCACCACCACCACCACTCGCTCGCTCCTGCTCCAGTCTCCATTGCCTTCATGTGCTTCAATTCTCAGTTGTCCAAGGACAATGAGACGTCTTTTTTTTTAATGAAAGTAAGCATGCATCAGGATGAATTGGATTGTCTTTTTATCATTTTGATCGCTGTTAATTTAACAAGTTAATTTGCCGTTGTTTTGATACATAATGTGAATAATACGCATCAAACATTTCTCTCATTGTATTTTTAATAATCAAAATGTTATAAATGACCCACAAACTGTCAAACTGATTTGAAATTTAGTTGTGCTATTCAATTATATTTGTGAGTTTTTTAATAAAGTCGCACAATGACTTTGGACTTTTAAGGGCGGAGACTTTTCTAAGGGTAGAAGTGGAAATGCTTACTTGAAGGGGCAGCTTGTATGTGATATATTAGGACGTCGTAAGTGGTTGTTGTGTTTAAAATTAGTGTTTATGTAATTATTTTCAGATTACAAATCCAATATAAGTTTTATTCATTCAAGGCAATCATTTTGTTCATAACTTTATTATTAGTAAGCCTGAGAGTTATCGGATCCAGGCAAACAGTTACCAGAACGCACCCTGTCAAAAGAAAAGTTCCTGGATCCTGTTCCGGCAGGATCTGGCTCAAATTAAGCCCTCACCTCATCTGACCTCGCGTTTGAGTTGGCTGAGTTGTCCACTTTTTAGACTAGTATCTGTTTGAATATTTTCCACCTGTGAACAATCTCACTTCATCTTAATAAACACATACATTGTTCCCAGAACTGAGTGCTCAATCCTCCCAGCGTGGTTCAGTAAGGAAGCAGGACTGCATTAGAGCACAGTAGATATAAAAATAACTCACTGTCCGTTGTAAACCCAGCAGGACAGCTTGTCTCGAGGTGACGGAGCAGAGCCAAACTCTTGCAATATTTTCTTCCACATGTATTTACCGTCTGTCAGGTCAACGCAGTACATCTGTTCAAAGTCAAACACTATTATTCTTTTACATTCACACAAGTTATTCAGCAACATTCACTGTATTTTATTGATCTTGTGTTGGGAGTTGATTACATCTGTATGTGATACAGAAACGAAACAGCTGGATTAGAATACAGACACACTTAAACTCTTTTTCTGACTTTTCTTCAGCATGCACACAGTTTAACTCAGCTGTAACCCTGAACTGAAACAACCTTTATTTAAATGTAATAAATAGTTAACAATAAAACAATCCTCGCCTGATTAGTCTGTCCGTTGTCGTCACATCCTCCAAATATGTACAAGTTTCCATTCAGCGTGCAGCCGCAGCTTCCAGACATGGAGGGAGGGACTTGACCCGTCATGTGAAACACCTCCCTTCAAAAATGGAAAAAAAATTAATAAATGTGGAAAAACTGCATTCATTTCTGTCAGAAAACATTTTTTAATAACACGTGCGACAGCAGACTGTTAGTTTAGCACAGCACAAACATAAAATGACTGAAAACAAAGTTACATTAAGACGTGGACATCATCTGTTCTTACCATTCACCTGTTTCCAAGTCGAAGGTCCAGATTTCATCACTGGGAAGGAAAACCTCGTCATCACCAACCGACTGCAAACAGTAACACCTGATTATTAGAAAAAATGAAGGCTGCATGGTTTATGTTATTCATTACAGCCATTATAAAACAAAAAACTACTTACAGATGATTTCCTTTTACACTGAAAGCTGTTCATGATCAGAATCAGAAAAAGCATTACAACGTACTGAAAGGTTTTGGTCTGTATTTAGAAAATGTACTTTTAGTTGTAATATTTCTCTCAATAAAAATAATTTTGTCTCTTTTCCAAAAAAAATGTTAAATACCCACATATAAAAATTATGTTAAATGGTATATGGACTGTGGCCCTGTGATGGACTTGAGACCCGTCCAGGGTGTACCCCACCCCTCACATAGTGATTGCTGGACACCCCCGTGACCCAAAATGGAAGAAGCGGGTAAAAGATAATGGATGGACGGATGGGTAAAAGCACTGTACTTATATATATCACCTTTCTATCTTATTGAGATACTCAGAGCTCTTTACAACAATCTGTGCCTCATCTACCCATTCATACAGCACTCTACTAGATCTATAAAGATAATTGAACAAATCATTCTGAAGAGACTAATCAGAGCTTTATCACATTCATACACTGATGGGACACACATCGGAGGCAACGAGGGGTTCAGTGTCTTGCCCAAGGACACTTCAACATGTGACTGATAGTAGATCCGAACCCCCAACTCCTGCATTGGAGGACACCTGCTCTAACCACTGAGCCACAGCCGCACATTATTACTAATAATAATACCACAACTTGTGTAAAAAGTATCACTGTAAGAAGCATGCTCCTGTAATGGACTTTATTTGAGCTATTTCATGGGTTATTTGGATTTTATAGTGAAATTTCAAAGCTTTTTCTATATTGTGTGTACTGACATTAAAAATATGCACACCGTATATTTTTTTGTTTTATATTTTAATATTGAAAGAAGTATTATCCATCCATTCCAAAAAAACATAAAATATTTTTTCTTACTAGATATTTCATTTAAGTTCATGTACTGAATTTAAAAATATATGTATTAATGTTAAATTAATTTTTTTAAATATTCAGATTTATTACTTTGTCAAATTAAATGGAATATAGTTTACTACCAATGTAAAATGATGTTTCTCCTAATCATAATGCAATATTACTGCAAAACTTACTGCCTAAGTCTTTTTCATTCACATTTTATTTGCATAAATCTGATTCATGTAAATACCAATTATACAGTATTTTGTTATGATTTATTAAGCTATTTAACAACTGACAACAATCCACCAACCAGATTGTTTTCTCTTTAAGAAACACGCATCCATCCATCCATCCACCCACCCACTTTACCCACTTCTTCCTTTTCGGATCACAGGAGTCACTGGTGTCCATAACCAGCAGTTACTGGGTGAGAGGTGGGGTACACATGGACAGGTCTCCAGTCCATCACAGGGACACATGGAGACAAACAACCATTCACTCTCTCTCACTCACACCTAGAGACAATTTAGAGTTACCAATCAGTCTAACATGCATGTTTTTGGTCTGTGGGAGGAAACTGGAGTACCCGGAGAAAACCCACACAGCACGGAGAGAACATGCAAACTCCACCCAGAAAGATCCCTGTGCCAGGATTTGAACCAACAACCTTCTTGCTGAGAGGCAGCAGCTCTACAAACACTAAAGCAATAGGAAAACAAAAATATTTCTAATCCTTCATAAATCTTATATGCCCCCACCAGAACGAAGAAAAATTATCATGCATTTAATTTATGCTGGCATTGTTGTGGGGAAATTGGAGCATTAATTAATGTTATAGAACTGTATAATGGTAAATGGACTGTACTTATACAGCACCTTTCTATCTTATCGAGATACTCAAAGCTCTTTACACTACAATCTGTGTCCTCATTTACCCATTCATACAGCACTCTACTAGATCTCTACAAAGCTAATGGAACAAATCATTCTTAAGAGACTAATCAGAGCTTTATCACATTCATACACTGATGGGACACACATCAGAGGCTATGAGGGGTTCAGTGTCTTGCCCAGGGACACTTCAGCATGTGACTGCTGGTGGATTCGAACCCCCAACTCTCGCATTGGAGGACGACTGCTCTAACCACTCAGCTACAGCCGCCCAAGCTTCCAGCACCTGGTATTCCCAGGCGGTCAACCATCCAAGTACTAACCAGGCCCGACCCTGCTTAGCTTCCGAGATCAGACGAGATCGGGCGTGTTCAGGGTGGTATGACATAATGGCTGAAGCATTGTGGTCAGAAATGTTTTTAGAGCTCAAAAATTTTGAATTTACACATTTTTCTTTTGTCAGCTGCTGCTACATTAAGAGGAAAAAATTACTCATCCCAAAAAAACATTAACAAGCATTTAAGGCTGCTAAAAGGCAAATATTGGAAAACTGGAAGAAATTTAAATTAAATGGAATTTCAATAGATAAATGGCCATTTGTTAGAAAGTGTTCATTTTAGCAGTGATATAAAAATATTCAGATATACTTTCATAATTAGATATATCCTTTTAATTGTATATAACAAATGTAAAATGAGAATGGATGCACAATAATATTAGATGTGCTGCATCACTTCAACTAAACTTCTCTTTGTGAACTTGTACAAACCGGATTCCAAAAAAGTTGGGACACTAAACAAATTGTGAATAAAAACTGAATGCAATGATGTGGAGGTGCCAACATCTAATATTTTATTCAGAATAGAACACAAATCACAGATCAAAAGTTTAAACTGAGAGAATGTATCATTTTAAGAGAAAAATCTGTTGTTTCCAAAATTTCATGGCGTCAACAAATCCCCAAAAAGTTGGGACAAGTCCATTTTTACCACTGTGTGGCATCCCCCCTTCTTCTTACAACACTCAACAGACGTCTGGGGACAGAGGAGACCAGTTTCTCAGTTTTAGAAATAGGAATGCTCTCCCATTCATGTCTAATACAGGCCTCTAACTGTTCAATCGTCTTGGGCCTTCTTTGTCGCACCTTCCTCTTTATGATGCTCCAAATGTTCTCTATAGGTGAAAGATCTGGACTGCAGGCTGGCCATTTCAGTACCCGGATCCTTCTCCTACGTAGCCATGATGTTGTGATTGCTGCAGAATGTGGTCTGGCATTATCGTGTTGAAAAATGCAGGGTCTTCCCTGAAAGAGATGACGTCTAGATGGGAGCATATGTTGTTCTAGAACCTGAACATAGTTCTCTGCATTAATGGTGCCTTTCCAGACATGCAAGCTGCCCATGCCACAAGCGCTCATGCAACCCCATACCATCAGTGATGCAGGCTTCTGAACGAAGCGTTGATAACAACTTGGGCTATCCTTGTCCTCTCTGGTCCGGATGACATGGCGTCCCAGTGTTCCATAAAGAACTTCAAATCGTGACTTATCTGACCACAGAACAGTCTTCCATTTTGTCACACTCCATTTTAAATGACCCCTGGCCCAGTGCAAACATCTGAGCTTGTGGAGCTTGCTTAAGAAATGGCTTCCTCTTTGCACTGTAGAGTTTCAGCTGGCAACAGCGGATGGCACAGTGGTTTGTGTTCTCTGACAATGCTTTCTGGAAGTATTCCTGAGCCCATTCTGTTATTTCCTTGACAGTGGCATTCCTGTTTGAGGTGCAGTGACGTTTAAGGGCTCGGAGATCACGAGCATCCAGTAGAGTTTTACGGCCTTGACCCTTACGCACAGCGATTGTTCCAGATTCTCTGAATCTTTTGATGACGTTATGCACGGTTGATGATGATAACTTAAATCTTTGCTATTTTACACTGGGTAACACCATTCTGGTATTGCTGCACTATCTTTCTGCGCAACAATGGTGGAATTGGTGATCCTCTTACCATCTTGGCTTCTGGGAGACACTGACACTCTGAGAAGCTCTTTTTATACCCAATCATGTTCTCAATTGACCTAATTAGTGTTAAATGGTTTTCCAGCTGTTCGTTATAAGCTCAATTTCCTTTTTCCAGCCACTTATTGCTACTTGTCCCAACTTTTTTGGGATTTGTTGACACAGTGAAATTTTGAATAAACATATTTTTCCTTTAAAATGTTACATTTACTCAGATTAAACTTTTGATCTGTCATCTATGTTATATTACGAATAAAATATTGACATTTGCCATTTCCACATCATTGCATTCAGTTTTTATTCACAATTTGTTTAGTGTCCCAACTTTTTTGGAATCCGGTTTGTACATTTATGTAATATTATTTTTATGTTTAGGTAACGGGGAGTGGTGGTGCAGAGGTTAGAGAAGGTGGGCCTGTGATCAGAAGATAACTGGTTCAACTCCCGGTACCGACAACATCAAAATGTGGGTGGGATAGGTGAAGCACCCACACTTGTCTCCACCCTCATTAGCCCCACTCTGGGCCCTTGAGCAAGGCCCTTAACCCCCACCATCTCCTCCGGGTGTCCTAGATAACAGCTCTCTGCTCCACACAGAGGGCTGTGGTATCTCAGTGGTCTGTGGTTGCATCAGGAAGAACATGTGGTGTAAAAATAATTGCCAAGTGTTCGTGCAACTTAGTTCGATGTAGTGACCCCTGACGCAGGGAGCAGCCGAAAGAAGAAAAAAATGTTTAGGTAATTTTACTAGATTACTTTGCACAATTTTGCTGTTTAGATTTTTTTCCTTTCTTTTGTCCTGTCATTGGATAATTAATGATAAATAAAAAGACTGTCAAGTCAAATATACAATCCTGCCTCCAGGAAGACTAATTTTACAACAAAAATACCTCAGTGCAAGCCTCAACATGACAGAAGCGCAGTATTATTGTAAATGTTTACCGTAATTTCTGGAATATAAGCCGCTACTGTTTTCACATGCTTTGAACACCGCGGCTTATACAATGCTGCAGTTAATTTATGAATTTTTTTTTTTTTGATGGGCTAACGAGCCTCATGCCACCAAAACATTTAGCTTCGTCACACCCAGATGCTCACATAACTGCCCAATACACGTCTCTCTTGGGGTGGGGTGGAGGTGGGGGGTAGCAATCAATGACTTCCTGGTAGACTACTGTATTTTTTTTATCAGTCGTGTTGCATGCACTGTTCAGAAAAAGAAAAAAAAACATTTACTATATTTGTGTGTTACTGGTAGATATTAA